GTAGTGCACATTACTGCGAGGATCACTTTCATTCACTTCACTAAATTACACTGTTATACTCTCCCAACGACGCAGCACCACAATTTCTTTGGAAACTTACCCCCTTTACTCATGATTGCTTTGGTTTTTCTATACTTATGTCGCTCTGTGATTGGTCCGCGCCACCCTCTCAACCAATCAAACTCAAGCCTAAAGCCAATCTTGATTGGTACACTCGTATTTTTCCGCGTTTCATGCAGTCCGCCTATTTTTAATCAGAGTTCTGATTGGCTAATGATGGTGTCAGCCTTCGCTTAGGTTGACTGTTCTGATTACTTGTAGTTTTTTTTTTTTTTTGAAACTCAAATGAAAACTGTTCCACTTACGATTATTACCTCTTCCTCTTCAGATTGCTCTGTAGCCTCGTCATCCTGTTTTAAGAATTCTGCCTCTACGTTGTTCACTCCCATCACATTTTTCAATTGTTTTGCAAGACTGACTCCTTCATCTTGTAGAAGAATACCATGCGCTATTTCACCCTCTAGAAAGTCCGAGACATGAAACCAGGAGCCGTTAAAGAGATCTTTTCTCTTGACTGGAACGTACATATCAAGTAACATGGAACTTATGTTGCCATTTCTCAAAGCTTCAACCATGGAGTTTAAATCTGGGAAAGTAGATCCTGCAAGAATAAAATTTTAGTCATGTAGTTTGTGATTTAAACGGTCCATTATCTGGGTCATGAAGTTTGTTACTCACCGATGGCTAGCTTGTTGGGAAATTTTTTAACGGCCACTTGATGTGAGGACGAGTTGGCAACTACTGCAACCTGAGGTAGAAACATTTTCACATCATCTGACAGTTACTTGTTGTACTATGAAGCGTAAGTCTAGTCTTAAATTAACCATTTTTAAACATGTCACGCAATTCTCCGATCAAAACTGACTAGAAACGTGACATGTCAAGTCTCCTAACTTATAAAACCTTTACAACATCATTTCAGTATGCATATTTCTTAACGAGAATTTGTTTAACAATCAAGAGCTTCTTTAGTTAATACTCTTGACCTTAATGTTTAAATTACGGATGAAAGTGTTAATGAGAGAACATCAATTACCTTGCCATCTCCAGACGAGCTCAGACTATTTGCATCCGTGCGAATCCTAACCACTGTCACAGTTAGCAATGATGTCAAAGTTCCGAGGAACAGAGCAAAAATTACAAGTCCGATTAGAAACCAGACTATCGCGAATAACTTGGCTGGGACGGACTGAGGACAGCGGTCACCGTATCTGTTCAAAGTAGGTTAAGTAATAGATGAACAGAACGAACAAGAAAAGAAATAATTTGTAAGTGGTAAGACTAAAATGTGCCTCATGAGCCTCAAGCAAGTGGTTCAATAATGTTGTCACCATGTTTTGAGTTCTTATGTGATCTGAATGAAGGGTACAAGGCGTGATGGAATCAATTGAACAGAAAAGAAACCTGAAAAAATCGCAAAATTTCGTCTACTTCCTCAATTGATCGAGCTCTTGTCGAGGATTTTTTAAGACATTAGGAACTCGGTTTCTTTCCTCTCACATCTTTTCTCTCGTAGAAAGCTACTGTTATTTTTTTTCGAGGCTTTAACTTTCTAAATCTTTAGAACTTTCTGCAAACATTTTGAAAACCGAGCACCATGTTGAACAAAGTTTTGGATGACCCCTCTACTATTATAGATCATATGCAACGAACCATCGTAATGAGCAGAGTAATCTGTTTATAGTTAAAATCATTAATTATTATCTCCCGTAAACTCTGCATTGTGCGTGATGTTATGATCGAGAAGAAGACAACTTCTAAGCAAACTCACCCAACAGTTGACATGGTGATAAAAGACCACCAGAAGCCAGCACCAGCCCCCTTAAAAAACGTCCTCGGGAAGTGCTCCGGGTTTGCTTTCGAGTCCTAAATGGTAGGAGACGTGTAAATCCATACGAGAGTACAAAATTTCGATTACTGAAGCTGCATTTACTGGGATTTTGGGTCAGCTCTATTTAAGGGGCGTTTAGGAGAAGTGTTTAGTTCATTAACCCCCAATCTGGTGTCAAGCCCTGGAAGGGTCGCTGTTTTGTGTAACCGGGCGCAACTCTTAACTGACACACTGTCTTCATTTAGAAATAGAAATGGGTACTGTAAAACTGCTAGGGACGCTATTCTACAAGGTAGTTATAGTGTTCGCATGACATCCGGGAGTTATGCAACGCGGGAACTTGGGTCATGTGACCAAGAGAGCGTGTGTGCGGTTGTGTAATCAAGTGTGCAAAGCGAATTGGTGTTGTTTAAGTTCGGGCCTCGGGGGATGTTTAGAAATATTACAGTAATAGAGAAGGGAAGGGGAGGATAGGGGTATGCATAAGACGGTGCTGCAACCTTTTAGCGGAGACCAACAAAATACCTAAACCTCTCGAAAAATCAGGAAAGCATCACCACGATGGGGCATCTGGTTCCTCGCCTTACTTTCATGAATTAAACAGTGAGACTGAAGAATCTTACCAAAATCCAAATGATTATCCCCGCTAAAAGAGACGTCAGCAAAGCCAATACACAAACAGGCCAAGACTCAAAGATAGAGTTTGTTAGAAGTTTTGTAAGTGTAGGAATGGGAGAGTTTCTTCTTTTAACAACAACAAACCCAGGTACAGATATCACTGGAACAAACTTGCTATAGGCCGTGTCACCAATAGCCTGGGTCCTTGTCACTGGAAAGGAAATTTGGCCTTCCCGTGTGATGTTAGAAGATGACAAATAGTTGTGCCTGTACGCATCGCATCTGCCACACGTGCTGTTTACCAGATCACGGATGACTCGACTGAGAGAGACCGTTCCTAATGTGTCTAAGGAGTTTGGAACAATGGAGATACTCAAGTTCTCGTTGCATCGACAAGTCTCTGTAAAGACAGGAAATTTTTCAGAATTGCAGTGAATAATATTGAAGGTAATAAAAGAAAGAAGATGAAAGAAGATGACATAATATAATTCTTGTCCTAGAACCGATTCAAAATGGAGGAGATGATTTAATGTGTTAGATATCAGCTCTCTCATAAGACGTTATGTATAGTCCACTGTACAACCACTGAAAAGTGTTGAGCAAGAGGAATCATGGGTAAAAGAAAGAATAACGCATGCGCTTTGTGCATTTTATTTCACGTTCCAATCCTTTGGTACGGGCCAACTTTTTTTCTTAGCAAAAGACCTTTCAGCAAATAAGAAATATATTTTTACAAATACCTGCGTATAAGGGCTCGCTGAACTTTCCCGTGCCCTTGGATGTTATCAAGGCCACCTCAATCTTATACGTGGTGTAAATCGTTAGGCCAGTGAGAATCACTGTCGTAGCACTAGCACAGACAGTCATCGTATGATTTGGCTCTGAAAGTAAGTCAGGAACTGGTTCACCTCCTCTTCTGACAGCATGATAATTGATGTAATAACCTTCCAATGGTCCATTTGTTTGTTTTTCTGTGTCGTTCCGCAGGTTGAGTTGAATCGAAGATGAACTCATTGTCTTTGTAGTATAAGTCCAAACTGGGATTTTTCTCTTACCTCTCCATGAACCTGCAAGGATACGGAGAGATGAAAGGGGATAAGCAACATTATCTAAAATTTTAGTGAAGAGAGGAAATTCCCCATTTGGTCCTAGCTCTAAATGCAACTTCTAACATGTTATTGCAAGAATCAAGTATTTCAGTTTCCCAGCCGGAATAATTCTGTACGTATCGCGCAAATTGGCTTAGTATTTATTAGAGGAGAATTATAGAGAGGATATACTTTGTCCATCTATGAAAAGAGTCGACATATTGCATACGATTAACTATTAACAGTAACGAATGTGATCATCACTGATACAAGGAGATGTTTTGCACATTGCTTCGTTGTCTTGACCCCGGTACAATTAGCCCATAAAACTACTCACCAGTTGCACAATCACTTAAAATGCCAGATCCATCTATGCTTAACGCAGCCATTTGGATGCATGTGTCGTCGGAGAAGCTAACATTCTTTAGCAGAAGAGACGAGGCACATGGAGCTACAAACTTGATGGCGCCACTATCAGAACCGCTCATAAATATTGCGTATCCTACAATCGGGACCTCCTCTTCTCTTTCCGGTACTAAGTGCCAAGATAAATTGACAGTGCTACCATCGGAGATGAAGAAGGAGAGATTGGAAGGAGCCAGTGATGGTACTGCAAGTTGAGAACGTTGTAAATCAACGTTACATTAAAAAAAGCTCATCGTCATAAATAACACGATTACCATTTGTCTTTTAGTACCTGATCATAACTGGATTAAGATTATTGCGCGATTTACGGTATCCCTCACATTAAAAAGAAAAATGGATAGATAGTCCAGTCTTAGTTAACACAATGACTTTTCTGACTCCCCTCTCAAAAGGAACAAGAGAAGTGGAAAATCTGCCACCATTGCAGTATAGTTTTACTTACCACCCATATTAGTCAAAACGTACAGACAGTCACTCATTTTCCCATCACCATATTTCGTGAAAGCCAAAGCTTGCACACAATAATTAGTAAACCTCATCAAACCATATCCTTCGAGAGCAGAGATATTGAAATGTACGGTAAAGTTATGTTTTGCGTTAGGCTTAGCTGCGGCAGCAAACAGAACTCTGTACCCCAGTACCACGCCGTTCTCATAACCCTGAGGGACTGGTTTCCAGCTCACTGTGATTGAGGTAGGAGATGAAACGTTTGCTGTTATTCCTGCAGGTGGTAGGTCGGGTACTGTAATAATAATGCTTTTTTAATTAAC